TGGAGGGCAGAAAGTAGTGTGCGAGGTCTTCGGCGAGCGAGGCGTGTTCGGAGGGAGGAGGGTAAGACGTAAGGCGTTCCCCAGCGGCGATGGAGGCTATATGATGTTAGATAACGTAGACAACTCGATGATAGATAGCAGTACCTTGGGACGGCTTTGCAGACGGACGAGGAGGCGCGGACGGACGAGAGGCCACAGGCAACTTGGGCTAGAAGTGCACAGTCCAGTCGAACGCGCCTCGACGTGCTCAATAAGTACGACTTACGGGAGGAAGTTGCCCGCCGGGCGGCACTCTGATCTGCGCTACACTGTCCGTCGTTGTCCGCGGAGGGATAGGCTTGCCCAGGTACCGCGAGAAGAACTCGTCCAGCCAGCTGAAAAAAGCCTGCTTGTCTTCCGGAGATAAGTTGGCCCAGTCGATCTTGTCGATGCCAGCCTCTTCAGACTGGACCTTCCGCACGGGCGGCGGAGGCGCGAAGCTTCGAGGAGGGGGAGAGGGAGAGGGCTGATCCGGTCGTGTTTCTCGGCAAATGGGAGGAGGGGGTCCCGGTACGAGTCCCCCAGAAATTGACGGGGCTGGGCTGGAAGATACACTGCTTGCATTGCTGTTCAATGATCTTGGTGGCGGTCGAGGGGGAGGACCTGGGCTGACCCCGTTCTCTTGGCTCACGTTGCTGGTCGAGCGGGCAAGAGTGGATGCGGCGGACGCGCCAAATTTACGCACAGGCACAGGAGGTTTGCTCGACACGTTGGGGGCGCTGTTCGCAGACGTACCGGTCCTCGAAGGGGGAGGGGGAGGCTTGTATATAGGTTTCGCCGCAGGTGCGGGTAGAGGCGGCGGCTTGGCCTTGACATCCGCGTTCCAGTTTATGTTCTTGCTGGGCTGGCTGGACATCCGGTCCTTGGTGTTCGAGAGCGAGCTCACGCCCGCATCCTTGACCTTTACAGCCCTGCTGCGTAACTCTAGTGCCATGTGCCACACAGGGAAGATGGTGGGTTCACACCGGTGCGAAGAGACGATGGTGGCAGCGGTCAAGTTCACACACCACACGTGCAGCATTTTGCGCATGCTCACCTGCTAACGTGGGCATCCTGGGATGATGGACTCCCTAGAGGGCGGTAAAGGGTCCGAATGAGTCCAAATGGCAACTGTCAAACTTTGACTGCGCTGATGGGGTGATTCTCAAAAAGTGCCGCAACGATGAGAGTGCTTGAAGGTGCTGAGGACTGAGACCGAAAGCCGAACGGGCTCGTCGTCGTTGTACGGTATAGCAAGAAGAGAGAATGTGCTGTCGAGTCGACAGTCGCGATCAAGTTGTGAGTGACGGAGTAGCAGTGCCGCATGTGTCCCAAAACCAGACTACAGTCATACACGGCTCCTTGGGACGCCCAAATTGTGTTTGGCCTCCCTTACCGTTATCATGTGTAATCTCTTGAAATAATCTAGCCAGCCAGATGTATATGAGCTTACTGCATGTATCCATGTCAAAAATCTGGGACTGAGAGGGAATTTGAGTAAGAGTGCAGTGCATCTTTGCGAAATTTCGTTATCAACCCCGTTTGACTGCTCGGGACAGGCGCTTATACGCTGCGATTTACCTGGAAAGGAAATGAGCGCCGAAAATCTCATCTTATCAGCTCTTGCCGAGAGATGCCGGTGGCTCAAAATGGCAAATCTACATGTAAGCGCTGGTCTCGAAGGATGAGCAGACGTCCCTCCTCCGGAGGACAGATTTATGCATCCATACGAAACACAGTCACTGAAAAAGTGGCGCATGGATATCTATGTATGTTGGAGTACATACAGAAATATATACGCAATTATTGTAGATGATAGGAATGGGCAGTGCGCACATTGTTCGCAAAAGGGTCCCAAATGCAACATAATGTTTATCCCTCTCGTGGATCCCCCAGTATCAGGCTCTCAAACTTTATAGGGTAGAAGCAGAAAGGTGTATAGATACATCTATTGATTTTCATTGGACTGCAGAGAGACACAGAATCATATAAAAATGCAATGTCCCGAGGAACCATGGTGTCCCAAGGAGCCATGTATGACTGTACGCTGCGCGCAAAGGCGATTAGATTAGATCTGACAGATGCACAGGCTCGTTCCCTCTGCCAGTATCCTTGGCACTCACAAAGTAAAACATGTCGGAAACGCGCAAGGGATGCAAGGTTGAAGTTTTCTACGCGACAATACGCCTGAAAGGTTCACTGGATTTGTTATACAACACCGGCTCTGGGGCTTATCGATACAAGCGTTAAGTTCTTCAGCCAACAGCACTCATTTCTTCTTGCCCGACGCCTGGTCTGAGCTTGCGACCCAGCTCTTAGGAATCCCTCTTGCTAGTAGGAATTCGGTTACATTCTTGATCTGCTTTCCTTGTACCATAACCTCCAGCGCATTCGGCTTTCCGTGAATGGGAGTCACTACGCGTACAAAGTCATGCGAGATGTGAACGGAGATGAAGGAGCTCCAGAATTGATACTCACCTGTGGTAGAACTGGCACAAATCTTGCGGAGCTCGTCCGCGATCTCCTCCGCTTCCAGCCCAAACGGCTCGAAGCCAGTGATGAGCGTGCACGCCTTCCGGCCCTGGCGGATCTTCACTACGACCGAGACCGGCTTCATCTCTCCCTTCCTATCACGCGAACGTATATGAGTGGTTTTGCACTGGTAAAAGAGAGGAATAAACACACTTTCGGACGATATCTCGACCGTCAGCGGTGATTTGGTGCCAGGCTTGCATGTGCGCGCGGACAAGCTTCAACACCTCGTCCCGTTTCATGAACTCCGGCGTGTCCTTGCCCTTCACCGACACCGCGCCCGCGAGGGCCTCATCCGAGCCGACATTGATATACTGCTGATCGTTCGCGTTGATCAGGCGGTGCGAGGAGATGTAGTCGGTCGTGATGGTCTTTATATCGTTGATGTTGTAGAACCCTGATGTGCTACGAGGCGCAGGGGATCAGCCTGAGTAACGAAGACTGCTAGCAGAGAGCATACTCTTTGCCAGCGGCGACGAAGAAAGGCACAGTCGTCCCGGACGGCTGCCAGAGCTCCGCGACCTGGAATTCGCCTTTGCGTTTCTCCTCGGCTTCACGCTCTTCTTTCTCTCTGATCACCGCTTTCTTCGCCTTGGCTTCAATATCGCCGACTGTGCGATGCGAATGGTGACCGGCTGCGTCGGGGTGCTTAGGGAACACCGCTACAGTCGTTTCGGGGCAGAGTTGGCATGAGCGATGCTATAAACTCGTAAACGGACCCACCTGTGACCATGACGTCGCTCTTTGTTTCCTTGATCTTGATAAGACCGTCCTTCGCTGAATTCTTCAGAAACGTCTTGACGTTTTTGAAGGTAGACTGCTTCACGTCAATCGCGCTCGAGTCTGTACTCGTGAATGATCGCCGGTGTTAAGAGCATGGACAGAATAGTCACCGCCGAAGAGGATGGCTCACCAGCGAGACCATACGTGCCAAGTGCGTAAGCGGGACGCGCGGGCAGAACGTATGTGCTCCAAAATGTTGATGCAGTCATCGGGAAGCTCGACGGCGGTAGGCCAGATAACGATGTTGAGATCGCTTGCAATAACGCTGCTCTCAGGATGGAGGAGACATCTGCGAAAAGCCGTCATTAAACAACACAGCCCGACAGCGGAGTCAACAGACTAACCTTCTGGCGTTAACTTGGCTGTACTGGTGGAAGATACTGCTTCTGGGGAGGCATCTCCCAATTTAGTCTCCGCCTCCGGCTGTTTATTATCCACTTCTTTGGACGCTGCCTCTGCAGTCTCATTCGGTTCGCCATCTGGATCACCATCTTCATCATCCGACACGTCGGCTTCAGAGGCCTTGAGTTCCCTCGGTGCCGGGACGTCCATCTTCTTACTCGGCCCCATCTCCCATAGCGCATCCTTCCACGTGTGCAGGACGTATACTGCCTTGCCCTTCACGTCGGTTTCTTCTGCCGATCGCAAGGTGTCGGATGATACGGCCATGGTCCCCACGGCGAGCGGTGGGCCGATCGCACCGCGATGATACTGGGTCACAGAGACGAGCTGGTCCGAGGCCAGCGCGGGCGAGTGCTGCACCACTTGCTTGGGGCAGATGAGATGTTCAGCGGGTACCAGTGAAAGGAGTACGATCGTAGAATCTTACCTCCCGGAATCATGAGATCAGCACCGCCAACGAGCTTGGGCACGACGGGTGCGGGCGTCGATAGAAAAGGCAGGAGGTCCGGCCGTTTCCAGAGCGTGTAAACTGTTCGACGTAGGGATGAGTAGAGAGCACGTCAGCGGAGCTCGCGCGTATTAAGTACCTGTGGGGATAAGGTCGTCCGATCCTTTGCCGATGGCGAACCACAAAGGGTCTCCCTCGGGAGACAAGTATGCTACCTGCCGAAGCAAAGTCCTCAGCTGGCAGCCGCAAAAACCGTAGTTGGCACATACGCCAGGCTCATCGAGATGTGTGCTGAACCTTTGCAGCTGCAGGCCATCCGGGACGAGCACGTCCCCTTCCTCTGCTTGTAAAACGGGGAAAGATTGCAGGACGCGCTGCCTGAGCTTTCTACGGTCCGAGCTGCGTATGGGCGCTAGGTTTGTGTGAATCGTGTGCTTTAAGCCGTCGTGATGGGGGCAAGATGAGACTTGCCAGAAGTCTTGAGCTCGGAGAGTGGTTTTTTGAACATGATGTGGTCCTCAGTATGCTGTTGTTGTGCTTGTGAGTACAGTTCACCTGCTCTTCTCTGCGAGTGGAAGTAATGTGGACTTACAAGCAGGCGGTGGATGAGGGACAACTTAGAGTCCGATCGATGGCAGTGTCAGTAAGAAGACTGACTGCGCCGCTAGCGTCGCGGCCTTTCGATCTCGATGGCAATATTTTGAACTAAATTCACGACTATGCAAAGTTGAGCTCCTATAGTCCAGCCCCTCAATATGAGGAAGCATTTGCAGAGGCAAAAACAAAACCCAACGGAAGACCTCAAAAGACAAAAGAATGACCACCGCAGGGGTCGAACCTACGTTAAACACCCGAGGTCGTAGTCAGACGCGATGCCGTTTCGCCAGGCGGCCACGTAAACGATCACACCCGTGAGGGTACTGAGCTTAATGGGCACGGCGTGGCATAATCAATACAGACATAGAAAGCGGTTAGCTGCAGGAATCGAGCACCACAAAAAGATACAGTGGACTTGGGCGTGTAGTACGTCCGCGTCCGACGAGTCCACCCCACTTCGCCGGCCGAAACCTCATTCCACGGGCCGATCGATTTGAGAACAGCTGTAATTGCGCACAGAAGCTCAAAGCTTTCCGCAGTCCGCCGCTAGCCGCAAACCTCCGCAAACCTGTGAGGCGGCTGTGAACAGTCATGATGTGCGAGACCTAAGGCACTTATATATGTCCCACTCACAGCGCTGGGGAAGACTCGTCGACCACCGAATATCGTGAGCCGTATACACTAGCGTTTACAAACTCCTGGCCTAATAGGCCACCGGAAGATGTAAACTTT